TCTTTATCAGTCGTTGCTTGGATTTTTTGAAGTTAGCTTCGACAGATATCGAATTGTTTGAGGAAAAACTCGCTCATGTAGCGAACCAAATGTTAAGCCATCGAATAACATCGTTTNTTTCTGAAGCCATGTGTGAAGGGTGATGTGTCGTAACCATTCGACGATGGATCATGGAATGTCGCTCAACTTTTGGCTGCTCCATCAAATTGGATCATCATCCTTTTGGATAAAACATTCATTGTTGATGCTTTAACTGACAGCTGTATAACACTCTGCAGTCATTGAATTGACTCACTCACCTATAAAGACACAGTCGACTTCATTGTGTTGATAAACACCGTATACCGAGATTATTCAGCGCATAAACGTTACGATATGATGTGGATTAGTGAAACGTAGCGATTCATTTCAAGTGATTCGTTTCGTTTAATATAGTTGCTGTTCAGTGTCACGCGCATTAACATGACTAATCACACGGACTCGTCTTTACGATAGACGACTGATCGATGATGTGGTTAGTCAAAATACGATGCAAACAACCGTAACGTAACGATTCCCATTTTCATAACGAAAGCTGTTCATGTGCAAATGCAGTTCCATGAACCCGTATCAATACACTCGATCAATTCGTGACGAATGGTGATGTGCTTTATTGAGTAAAATAACCTCTCGATTCATATGTCAACAAGAAAAAGGCGATGAATGTGACAAATTTCATTGCAATAGAATGATTGAGATGCATATCATAGAGCCTCAATGACATTTTCAATTTCCAGACAAGTCTCTGTAAAACAGATTTTGAAAGCATAGTGCATACACTTATATAGTCATTGATCATTTTCATTGGAGCTTTTTTTAGCTCGTTCGAAATTTTGTGTCTCAAAATGAGCACTCTGTTAATTGAACATAATTCTAGGTGCACCTAACCAGTATTCTCCTTACAATTATCATTTTTATGTTTATTATTTTTATTCGATTCATTATCATTCTCCGCCAATCTCAATGGTATGGTTCTTATTATTATTGCTTTTGTCATTAATACTGTGACAATTATAATTATCAATATACACCCATTATGCACAGCTTTCAGAATACTTTTCTTGAATTCAGCTCATCACTGTGTCAACATTAAGTGTCATTGATTCATCTACGAATCGGTCTGTTGATAAGAATGCAATTTTCGTAATCTGTTATAAAGTATTACGTGTATTGCATTTGTCAATACTTACCAAACCTAATTCGCCGAATTACTGTCACGATCGCTTTAACGTCAGTTTTTTTTCAACGTAATGTCCCAACAGTACTTTTGATTAGTTGTGATCTCGTTTCAATGATATCTAAAATTAACACTCGACATCACACACTCACCGCGTTTTTATTCGCTTATTCGCACTTGCCAGCTTAAAATCAAATCGAAATAGTGATTGTAGCCCGTTCATTATTTTATCCACTCATACCACATTCATTTATAACCGAATCGCGAGTTTTTAACAATAAGTTGAAATGATTTCAACAAATCCAATAGATAAAGAAGTATTATTTTTTGAAACTGAAGTTACAACAGAATGTTACATTACCGTAGGTGCATTCGTTTAGGTATATACCGATATTATAATGCGACGATTGATAGGGATTTAAACGAAACAGTTAATAGACTTATTTATATTCATTTATGCGAAGCGATTATACCACTGCTTTCGAAAACTATAATACGATTGATATTTGTGAAAAATCAACGATGCGAAACGTATCGGAATCCTTATCCGGAAAACAGATTATTCAACAATTGTTTTCAAACTAAATAGCACATCCATCGTGTTTGCATTGAAAATCCGCGCTCGGGTACGCTTGCTTTCACATTATTCGGTCGATTCGTGTTGAATTTGTTGGTGAATGACTGGCTGGCTATTCTTCATTCCAATTGATCATATCCCTTGATATTTCATTCAACACCCAGTCTTGTCTCTTTTCTCTGTTGTTGTATTCAAATAATTACACTTCTTGAGTAGTATACCACCATCTTGCTCAAGGTTATTCTCCCTTTTCAAAGAGTTCCTCTCAAATATTATCAGCTTTCGTATGGATTGCGGAAGGTGACCTCAGAGCACTTCTTAATTTCTCCACCTAATCTCTCCCTCTCACTGTGTATGTATCCAGCTAATTTAGACGTCCTCCTTGAAAACTCATTGACTACTGAGACAACTTCCGTTTTCCATTATTCTCAACTCTATTCACTTGTTATTATTTATACGCTCATGCCTCATCCACGCACCTATCAATCTTCTACAACACTATTATTTGTATCATTATTATCAACATCCTATTATCTCGTCTCATACAAACTTCTTCCTACCAACCTTCTTTCATTTCACCGTCATCCCATCCATTATTCATCTCTATTTTGTGCCGCCATCTTTATTCCAATTTTGACAATTCATCAATCTTCAGCGAGTTTCTCACTAATAGTAAAACTTCGCTTATTAACAGAATGAGATGAGAAAAAAAANAAAAAAAACGATAGAGGAAACAATAAGCGTAAAATTCTGTTAGTATCACCATGTATTTCTAAATCTCAGTATGATTGGAGAACTGCTGTTGACATTGTGACTGAGTTTATCAATCGATCCAGAAAGTTCGATGGAGCATAATTATGCTGCAGTTTTGGAACTCTAACCAATCACTTTCATTACGAAGAAGCAACTTCAACTTCTCACTGTCAGAATGTGCATAACAGTAACTGAAAATCGTGTTTTTAAGTTCGAAGAATCACTCGATGAATGCGCTTTGTATGTGTGCATGAATTGAATGTAAACGTGTGCCGTATGTCTAACTATACGATCTGTAAATCAACAATTGAAATCGTCTTTTTCAACATCACACAAAACACTTCAGCAATTCTTCATTCAAATCAACTCGTTATTCACTGAATTCATTCCACATTCATTTTGTTCGTTTGTTCTGCTTAGATTACGGATGCTGAAACGTATCTGAATTTATGGATTCATTTATGAGATGAACCTATATGTGTTGTTTTTTTTAACGAATAAATTCCTTCATAAACTCTACATTATTAACCTCATTGTTTCGAAGTGCATTAACCTCGATTCGAGATACGGTATATTGTTTCATATATATAAGAATCGTTATCTGCAAAGTGACTCCCCATAATCACTAGTAATCTTCATATTATACGGTTCACTGAATAAAATCTTTCGGACGTTCCGAAAATACTACAGTTCGAAAATTTAACAAGTGAACTACTCTCCGCAGGCTTCAGGCTTTCACTCGCGCCAGTGTGTCATAAAGTAGTGTGTGATGCTAGCATATAGACGTATCTTATTGATCCTCAAAGCAATAAATATATGCGCTCAACGAAGTTTTTATTTACCAGTGAATAGACAAACGCAATGTACATTTTTCGACGTAAGACTGCAAACGAGATCAGAATCAAGGATTCCGATTCAAAATGGCCATGTTCGCATCCGATCTAACTTGAGAAAATAAAACTACTGTTTAAGCGCGAATATACCCTCTTGATCATTTCTTTGCACCGTGATAGTCGATGACTTGTAATTTTATCGCATATATTTGATTTCTCATTAGCGTCTTCAAACCTTCAATTTATCGTGATTGTGTTGAGTCGATAAACAACCACCTCGTGGTGAGTGCCTATCAAATAAGAATAT